GAACGTTATAAACCAACACAAGTCTCATAAGTGTCCGGTTTTAAGGGTATTGCACAGAAACACACTACATAACATGAATCAAATATGCACTTTATTCATTTACAATAAATGTCATAAGTACATCAAATTGATTGGAGCTAAGGGCATACAAAACTGTTTAACATCAAGAACAATTCTTGATATTGCCTTTTGGTAGAAAAGGCAGTATGAAGTGATGCTTACCTGCCTTCCATCATATTCTTGTTGAAGAATTCAGTTCTTGCTGAAGAACCGTCCTATTGATTCTGCTTCACCTCACACTGTGTCATCTTCGGTGGAAGCAATCTTTGGTCTTCTCCTTGGGCGTGAACACCTTCATTAGGGGTTTATTATTACTCCGTATTAGGTATATCCCTCTACTCCCTTTTGGTTTCAGATCTGGTCTGGTTTGGTTTCAAGATTGATCATTGAAAATGCAGCTTTCTAAAATAGGGAATGCGATTCCCACATGGGAGAGAGAGATTTTTGAAATTTCGCCCAACATTCCTACAAGGTTCGGCCATCCATATGATGGACCTCTCATCCCTTAAAAAATATCAAACATTATGAAAAACTTGAGCAAGTAGCCATTGTGATTTCCTTATCTGGTTTTTAATGTTTTTCTTTATGCTAAATGTACCATGATTCCGAAGGTTCTTGATACCTAAGAAGGGTCACTTTGCCAAGAATAAAGTGGCCTATACCTAATAGAACGATGCTGCGTGCATCTTCTTCGTCTTAACCCTCTTGCCTCCTATTGTCCCTTTTTCAAACTGCCATTCGCAAAAATCTTCATGTGTTGCTCATGATATTTGTTGTTTCGTAGTTTCCTACCTCACAACAAAGAGGGGTAGCTGTCAACACTTGATTGTTGYTCGACCCATTGCCTGAACCCCAATTCACCCCGAATTCTTAATCAGACCCTTCAATCTCCTTGAAACACCTAAAAACCTAAACTTCACCCTGAGAGTCATCAGATCCACCGTTAAACTTGCCTGATACCAATCCGATAGCCCTGATCGACTCCCATTTACACCCCAACCATTAGATCATACACAACCATCAAACTAAGGACCTCCCAAGACACCTCTACCCATGAAAATTTCAGCCCCAAATACCTTCATTTACCCCTTAATCACAATAGATTCTATTTCAAGGCTCCAGATTGATCAAATTCTAAATCTGTCCAATCCGGGCTCAATTAGCTCAATCTAACCTTACCAATCCATTCAGACATCCTAAAAACCCTACCCTGTGAAATTTCATCCAACACAGACCTTGTTAGCCCCTTGATCATACAAAGATTTCGATTTAAGGCCCAAAATTAACTGAATTAAACCATTTCCAGGTCTTCCCAATCCAGGCTCAATTGGGCCAATCCAACCCTATAGATGTGAAAACCCCATTCTGACAAATTTCAGACAAAAATACCCTCGGTTACCCATTCATCTACAAAGATTCCGTTTTTGCCAATCTCATTGACTCAAAACCCATCTTTGAACCAAACCCCGGTTTGATCCCCTGGACCCGGATGGACCCAAATTCCCTGAACTTACAAAACTACCCCGGGCTTCCCAAAATTTACGAAATTGCCACCTACCCTAATAAAACCAAAACCAGAATAGCGGCGGCAATGCCCCTTCCCTCCTGTCACTCTCTCTCTCTCCTCTCTTTCTCTTCTTCTCCCTCTTCTTTCCCTGCTTTGTCCCGTTTCTGCCACCTCTGTCTTCCACGACCGCGGCAATCTTCTCTCTCTCTCATTCTCTTGATTTCCTTTTCCTCTCTCTCTCTCTTTCACTTTTCTCTCAATCTCCCCCTCTCCACTGTTTCCCAGCTCCATATAGCGTTGAATTCACACGATCCAGATTCGGCACTTCCCCATTCACACTAATAGTCGAACCGACTTTAGCCGAATGATACTTGGATGCATCTCCTCTCAGTCCTAGACGAAATGCCCATCAGGAACGATCATTTCTGAGTTGTCACGCGTTCCTACCCACAAGCATCAATCGTTGTAGTAGTTTGGGGAGAGATCTATCGAAATCCCAAGATTTTTAAAGCATTGTTAATCGCCATCTATTTCTCG